AGCTCATATCTCGCTCTCGCTACCCTTTTCCCTCGCTTTGGCGTTCCGTTGCCAAGGGATTTCGAGTTACTCTCTCTGCGCTTCCGTTCTCACGATAATCCGGCGAGAGGATACCCTGCTTCTCCACCAAACTGTCGCGGTCTTCCTCCTTAGTGTCGGGGTCGTGTATCTAGCAGGCCGACGTAGGAACGAGAACTAGAGCGATAATTCCAAATGTAACTTGATATATTCTGAGTACTTTTCTCTTAAGAAGGAAAGACACGACTGAGCCTCTTCTCCACGGTCTCCCCACGACCTTGAAGCTCCTTACCGGTCCACAAATCTTCACCACGCGGCGGTCCACAGCGAGGTACCTTCACATTCCCTTCATTCCAGTCCCACTCTAGACATGGAACGCCGACGTCTGCTAATCTTGCCCTTGCTTGTAGGATGTAGCTCGTGGGGCCTGTAGTGAGCAGACCTTCTGAATGCAGTCCGCGAGAATAGCGAGACCTCCATCTAGCTGTAGACCGTGACATCGTCGCCGCTGTACTCAAGGTGGCGTTTGGTACTGCTGGTACAGTAAACGAAAAGTGAAACGGGATAAACACTAAGGACTGCAGTAGACAGACCTGTCGTAATTTAACTGTATCAAATGGAACTAACGTTTAAGCTTTTTGCAGCTTAAAATTATCTATTTTTCTGAGCTTTACTGTCGCCTGCACCTCTGTTACCTGGCTTTCTTAAGTTACTATTTTCGGGATTGCGACGAGTATAGCAGCGATACCATGAACACACTGAATTCTAATTTTAGTTTTGCTTCATCGTACAGTATGTTACTGGCCTCATCATTTATTCGGGTATCCAGCTTTGCATCCTATGCTACGTTAAATAATACTTTCAGTTTATGTTTCACCCAACGCTAGTGGCTTCACCATTCATTCTTGTGTATCAAGCTGTAAAAGTTGTAAAATTCTTTTAATTTTGTTGCACCCCCTACTACTAGCTTTCCATCACCTACTCTAAAGAATTACGCATAGTTCAGCTTTCAAAACTAGCAAACGCATTAAATTACATTGTGTGTGATGAATGAAAATAATTGTTGTTGTAGATTATGAAATTAATCTGTACTGAATGAAAAGAATCCCAGTAAATGGAAAGTAGCCTCGGAGAGAATGAAAACAGGTTTTTTGTGTGGCTCTTGGTACAATGGGGTACAGAAAGTCTACGTCCAACGTCTCCTTGAGCTCGTTGGCCCACGGCGTTTGGTCCCTGACGGTATTTAAATTGGCTACTATGCATGATATGAATGCCTGACGTGAAAGCTTTCCAACAGACTATCATTTGACCAGATTGATAGAAGCTGCTAGAAGTTGTGCCCTGTAAAACAAAAACAAAAGCAAAATTATATGGCAAAA